CCTTCCCTCTAGTCTTACACTGCTAAATTAGGGACGGCTACCGCAGATAGCCCTTGTGTAGCTTTGCGCGAAATTCAAAAACAAACAAACAAAAGCTATTTAGACCTTTCTTTCTAGCCTTTCGGTCGTAATTTTCTTCTGCACTTCGCACATATCTATGCTCAAAGAAACTAAATATTTACCAATGTTTGGACCACACTTTCACTTCAGGAAAACGTTACCAATAGTTTTACTCAGTAGATACTAATGACACTGTTTAATGTAGAAAACGAATTATGCCGAAATGCTGGATGAATATACATTTTAATTAAATTTTGTGATACTTTACGTCGCTATTTGTGGAGTTTCGTACTCCATTAGTTATTGCCTTCTTCCTTTGAATTAGAAATACGTTCAAAAAAGTTGTTTAATATGTAATAAAACTTAGCAGCACTCATACGCATGCACGCACGCAAAAAAGCGAGATCAGAGAAATATAATCGCGGGGTGATAATTCGCTACGAATTCACCATTTTTTTCACGAAAAGTTGAGTATACGTTTGACACGGTTATTGAAATATCTCTTTTCATTTTACATTATTTTAGAATGTATACGTCCTACAACACATAGAAAAATAAGGACCCTATTACTCTATAAACCAATATTACTGATAATAACGTGCCCCCCCCCAGTGGCACAGCGGTATGTCTACGGACTTACAACGCTAGAAACCGGGTTTCGATACCCGTGGTGGGCAGAGCACAGATAGCCCTTTGTGTAGCTTTGTGCTTAATTTCAAACAAACAACAACAAAAAAAATTATCACAGCTCATTATTCGGCCAAACAAGAGGAACCTAAAAATTGGCGGTGGGTGATATTGACTTAGGTGCCTTTCATCTAGTTTTATCAGTTCAAAATTAAAGACGGCTATTTGTGTATAGCCTTTTGCGAGTGCAAAATGCCACAGTTGTTACATGTTGCTACCGGAGGCGTCATTGTGGTTTCTTTAGCATAGTTATAATGGGCATAAGTGGACCTGTCAATGGTAGTGCAATTTCTTCAACCAAAATGAAACTTACAAATGTGAAGAGCGATGAACAAGTGAAATGCCATTACATTAAAAGGTGCAAAGTCGAAAGAGCTCTCGGAGAATGCCATAGAGCGCATTACACACGCAGAGGGTCTGGTTCCGATGTTTTTGTGCATAGGTTCATTAAATAAAATTAGGAGACAGGTTGCAGTTCTGGTAAGCCAGGTACAAACAGCCCACCGACACCCATTGAAATTATTGCTAAGGTAAGCCATGCCGTAATAGAACAAGCCAGCATAATTGCACATAGGTGCAGGTAATATTGCCCTGTGTCTAGATTTGCCAATTTCAACTACTTGGAAGCCTCTTTGGTCAACTTTGTGAATGTTTCTTTAGAAGATGCATTAGCACTGAATGAAACATAGTTAACAAATATGTTAATT